ATGGCAACTCCTGTTTACGGACATTTCTGTTCTGTTTATGCGTTCTTTATCTTCTGTGGGTCACGGTCACACAGCCCTGTTCCTGCTCAGTCTATGAGCTCCCTCTCTTCCTGCCTTTTAGGAACACGGAGTCACAGCTGTCTGAACCCCTGTCTCCTGAGTTGTAATTCCTGAGATCCCCAAATAAAGTTGCTCCCCCCCGCACCCCCCCTTTTTTTTTTGTTCTGGAGATGGAACCCATGGCCTTGCTAACCCAGCCCTAGTTTAATAAGTTGCCTTTTATTTATTTATTTATTTTTTTAAGAGATAGGGTTCTAATTGTGTTGCCCAGGCTGGCCTTGAACTCCTGGGCTCAATTCCTGCCTCAGCCTCCCAAGCAATGGCCCACAGGCATGAGCCACTCCTCGTTTTATTTTCTTTTATTGTTATTTGATTTTATTTGGCACTGGGGATTGAACCCAGGGATGCTCTACCACTGAGCTAAAGCCCAGATCTTTTTTATTTTTTTATTTTGAGACAGGGTCTCACTAACTTGCCCATTCTGGTCTCAAATTTGCCATCCTCCTGCCTCTGCTTCCTGAGTCACTGGGATTACAGATGTGCACCACCATGACTGACTAGTTCTAGAATTAGCCATACTTCACTATGAAGTAAGAATAAGCAGAAAAAGTGGTTCAGTGAGCCAGGCAGGAGGGATTCTTTTTATAGACACAAAAGGGCTGAAGAGAGGAGAGACAAAAACACTCAAAGGGGTTGGTCATTGCAGTGACCTTCCTAGCAACGTGGAGACGGGAGAGAGAATAATAGAAAAATTAGCTCAGATTACATCAATTTATCTTTTGTGTATAAGGATTATGTCAAGGGAAACATTATTATGCCGGTTGAAACCTGTCTTTCTGGGAATTTGTTCTCTCTCTAATCCTGATTTCTTGGAAGGTCAGATAAACAGCTTAGTTGCAGTTTGGTGACCTGGAACTTTAGCCCGAGTGACTCCATTTTAATTTTTAGTCTGCTCTGCTGGGGCCCAGTGCAGGAGCTTAGTTCAAAACAATGCCTCCTACAATTTTTATTTAATTGAATGAAACATGGTTCCTGCCCTCACGGAACCAGCATCTAGTGTGGGAGACCAAGGTAAATATTCACACATCCAGGTCACTTCWGAGCAGGAAAAATCAGAATGGCTGAAGCATACGGAAGCAGAGAGAAGGGGGTGTCCCCAAGCRGGAGGCAGACCCACATGCCACCTGGGACTGGGATTGGATGCTGAGTTCAYTGGGGTTGCAGGGAGGGAGCAGAGAAGCTGGTTTAGGCGGTGCCTCTGACTGCTGGGTGGGAATGGACTTTGAGGAAGACTGGCCACTGGTAGCATTAGAGATCAGTAGGAGGCACAGCTGGACAGTGGGGGATGGAGCCCGCAAGGGGGCATGGGAACATCTAAGTATAGAAARAAGCCCTTGGAGGTGACTTTGCTGGTTGTCTGCTCCTGTGGGACAGCCCTCCACTACCTTGCTGTCTCGCCGTCATGGATGGAAATAGTAGCCATGTAGTTGTGCTTTGTTATTTGGGTTTGGTCAGGGTTCAGCTAGGTGACTCTTCAGCTTCCTGTGACCTCTGCAAGGGTCACTCAGTGCGATTCACTCGAGGTCAGGCTGAGCTGGGTGTCTAAGGAACTTGCATYCTGGGCTGGGATGGCAGGAACCCTGGCTCTCTACGTGGAACATCCTGATGGCCGCAGTGCAGTCAAGAGTGAGTGCCCCAGGGCTGGGGATGTGGCTCAAGCGGTAGTGGTAGCGCGCTCGCCTGGCATACGTGCGGCCAGGGTTCGATCCTCAGCACCACATACAAACAAAGATGTTGTGTCCGCCAAAAATAAAAAAAAATATATATTAAGATTCTCTCTCTCTCTCTTAAAAAAAAAAAAAAAGAGTGAGTGTCCCAAAGTGGGCATGGTGGCGCACACCTGTGACCCCAGTGATTCAGGAGGCTGAGGCAGGAGAAGGGCAAGTTTGAGGCCAGCCTGAGCAACTCAGCAAGACTGGGTCTGAAAATCAAAAGGACTCAGTAGTGTCACTGGGTTCAATCCCCAGGACAAAAAAAAGAAAAGAAAGGTGACTTTTTTACATTTCTGAATCCTATTAACGTTTGGGACCAAAAAATTGTAGGGAGCCCTCCTGGGCTGTGTGCTGCATCCTTGGTCACTAGCTCAGACACATACCACCAACCAGAAGTGTCTCCATGTTGGGCATGTTACATGCCTGCGGTCCCAGCTCCTCAGGAAGCTGAGGCAGGAGGATCGCTTGAACCCAAGAGTTGGAGACCAGCCTAGGTGACATACAAGATCCCCCCCCAAAAAATAACATAAAAAGATAAATGAACAGCAATGTCTCCAGACAGTGCAGAGAGTCAGCTAAGCCCGTAACTGTCCTGCTTAAGAACTGCCACCTTGGGATTCCCCTACTGTGACTCTAGGCCTCCAACCTGCATCGGGAAACTTCACATCAAAATCTGGGGTTGCATCCCCAAACTGGTGGCCCCAAGTTGGAAGATCCCTAGCCACATGAGGGGTTCTAGTCCCCCATCTATCAGGGCTGATGTAGAGGCCCCCAGTAGACTTGCCTCAGTGGTACCTTGAAGGACAGAAGCTCCTCTCCCACCCCTCATCCACTCCCAACCTCACACAGGACATGACCTGGGTGCCGAGGCAAGGGGGCCCTTGCAGAGTATCTGACAAAGCTTCTCCTCTGACTCTGGCCACCAGCTCAGGAAGCCAACACTCTTTGCTCCTTCCCAGTCAGAGGTCGGGTGGCTGATGGGGAACAGAGGGGTTTGGACCTGCTGACAGAATTTGCTGGGAGGATGTGGTTTTCAGACGGAAGCACCAGAAGGCCAGGGTGCCATCATGAGGGGGAGTCAAGGGAAGAACAGGTCGGGAGAGTGTATTGGGAACCAAATTTGAACAAGTGGAGAAGTCCACTTGTCATCCCAGGGTCKATGCCAAGCTGGAGAGACAAGCCTGGAACTTGGGAGCGTGCTCCAGGCTGAAGCTAGAGTTATGGGAGTCATCAGAGATGGTATTTATAGCCACGAGACTGGCGGAGATCACCCAGGGAGGGAGTGTGGAGAGTGAGGTCCTGGACGGGGCTCTGGTGCTGTCTGATTAATAATAATCAGATAATAATTACCATCACTTTAGTCCTTGGAGTATCTGGCATGGTGCCTGGCCCTCTGTAAGAATTCACTGCATTGAATAGAACTTTTTCCCCATACTTTATCCGCCACCACCCCCAACTTTCCYCACTAATCAGAACTCAGTCTTAGCAAAGACCTGGGATGTGGGGCCCAGAGGCACAGCTTGGGAGGCTGAGGCAGGAGGATCATGAGTTCAAAGCCAACCTCAGTAATTTAGTGAGATCCTAAGCAATTTAGCGGGACCCTGTCTCAAAATTTAAAGAAACATGGGGTTGTGGCTCAGTGGTAGAGTGCTCGCCTACATGCACAAGGCACCAGGTTCGATCTTCAGCACCACATAAAAATATTGTGTCCACCTACGGCTTAAGAATAAATATTTTAAAAAAGATATTGTGTCCACCTACAACTAATAAATATTTAAAATATAAATGTATGTTCAATTAAAAAATTTAAATAAATATAAAAAGGTCTGGGGATGTGGCTCAGTGGTTAAGAGCCCCTGGGTTCAATCCCTGGTACCAAAAAAGAAAAAAAAAAAAGGACCTGGGAGATAGGATCACTCAGTTAAGTGGGAAACGTAAGTATTCTCTAGACTTGGGCAGTTACCCCAGAATGAAATTTTGTTCTCACAGGGAAGCCCGGGTTATGTGAAATTCCCACTCCAGCAACAAAAGTTATCCCAGAATCCCGAGCTGCAACCATCCCTCACCCCCAAGCCCCAGTATGCTGAATTTCAACTATTTTACTTTTTCTGATAAGAGAATTTTAAAACTGGGAATTTGCTCTGCGGGAAAGTGGTCACACTGGTTAACCCTTTCAGTCTCTCACCCGCTTCAGGAACTATGGTCTCAAGCTGACTCCACATGCAGCCCTCGACCTTTCCACACCCTGATGAGCAGAGGCACTGAAATAGCAGCATGAGTCACTCAGGGACTGTCATGTGACGCACAGGCCAGGATGCCTTCTGCAGTGAAACTCCCGTGTTCCAGAGACCTGGGCTAAGGAAAGGGGACACTGGCCGTCCCATGTGGCTGCCTCTTGGGAGGGCTCCAAGTTCACCAAGAGGTTAGGAAAAGCCTGAGTAGGTGGAAATTATAAGAGCTCACATTTTTTAGTGTTCCAAAGTAAATTTATCATGACAGTGAWGGAGCTTAAGTTTCAGGGTACCCCAGTTTCCCACCTTCTAAAGCCCCACATCTCCTTTTTTTTTAATATTTATTTTTTTAGTTTTAAGTGGACACAATATCTTTATTTTACATTTATGTGGTGCTGAGAATCAGACTCAGTGCCTCAAGCATTCTAGGTGAGCACTCTACCACTGAGCCACAACCCCAGCCGCCCCCCCACATCTCCTTTTTTAGTTCTAAGTTTCCTTTTCACAAAAGAAGCTTGTTTTCTTTCTTTTTTCCACCCCACCACCTTGTACTGGGTATTRAACCAAATGGTGCCTTACCACTGAGCTACATCCCCAGTCCTTTTCATTTTTTTGTGAGACACAGGGTTGGGCTAAGTTGTCCAGGCTGGCCTCAAACCTGCTGAGGCTGGCCTTAAATTCTTTGATTCCCCTGCCTGAGTCTCTGGAGTCACTGGAATTACAAGCATGCACCACAGCGACCCAAAAGCGATTTTTGCATTTTCACTCACACTGTTTTTACCCAGTGCTTACAATTACCTTCAACACCTAATAGGGTGTTTGATACTATTTGATGAATTAATGAATGCCTACTATGTGCCAGGTACTGTGCAACACATTAGGAACCCCAAATTAAAGGAAAACAGACACAAGGCCCTCACTGACCTGACTGCAGTGCTGATAACAAACTCATTTAATTTGCACAGCCCACAGTGCTATAAAAGAGGTAAACACTGGACAGACGTTAGTGTGCTTGAAGGGGACCAGCTGTCAAGGAACTCTGATAGCCAGGCAGCCTGAGAGATGGGCAGTTACTCCAGCAGAGGGACAGAATGAAGAAGTCTGCCTAGTTCAAGAACAGAGACTCGGCTGTGGCTGGAGTCTGTACTGGAGAGGACAGAGAAAGACGGTGGGAAAAGCAGGCCTGCTTAGTGGGTCCTAAATCCCATCCCAAGGCCTCCAAGAGTTTTGAGGGAAGATTAMCGCGCGTATGAGATCTGCTGTCATTTTGGTTCCTGAGAATAGAAGAAACACAGCGGGATGAGGAGCAAGTATTGACAAACGGGGACCCTTTAAACCCTGGGGAGAGATGGCACTACCCACAGTGGGTAGGAGGAGGACACAGCAGGGCCCAAGACTCTCATCCAACTCCCCGACCCACCCCGAAATCAGGAGGCTGCTTTGCTCCAATAACCACAGCACACCTTGGCAGCAAGAGCAGCGTCCTAATCAGCAGGTCCATCCCTTCACACCCCAGGCTCTTGTGTGTCTTGCCTTGCTTCCACATTTGGGGCTGGGGCTTACGGCCCTACCAGGTCGCCCTGGCCCACARGTGAAGTAAGTAGCTCATTCAACCGTTTCCTTTCCCCCTTTCAGTCTGTGATTCCCGCGGGCTAACACTGCCAGCAGACTCCCCCTCGCTCCTCCGTTACCAAACCCTGCACCCGAGGGTTCAGAGAGGGTGTGCGGCTCCGCGGCGGCCACCCAGAGGACCAGCCGCGCCGCGGGGAGAGCCTGGACCTGTCCCCAAGCCCAGCACCTTCACTGCCTCGCGGCCTTTTTTTTTTTGAACATTCAACCCAACAGCTGGGATGCAGGGAAGGGCCCGAGGTCGGGGCGCTGGGCAGCGCAGGCACCCATCGGCCAGGGCCAAGCTCTCCCAAACCAGCCGCTACGGTCACCCTGAAGGCTGGGACCCCGAGCCCGACGCACGGGGGCGAAGGGGATCTGTCGGTCCAATTCTCGGCGGAGTGAGGCAGGAAGCTGGCCTAGAGGCTGGTCCCGCGGCCGCCCGAGTCACAGCGACAGTGCTCATGGCCTCAGACTCCAGTCAACCACCGGCCAGGCTAAAGCAGGCCCTCTGCAGGGCAGCAATTTAAACCTATCAGCGCAAAGAGTTGACAACTCCCCGCCCAACTGAAGTTTTTTTTTTATTCTGAAGACGGTCGCGTCATGGAGTCCTGCAGCCCAATGAGAGAGGTGGAAATTTCCAGAAAGAACAGGACCAATGGGCGCGGCCACTTCGTCCGCGATTGACGGACTAAACCGCCAATCCGTGCCGCAGAAGTCCGCTCCTCCCTCCATTCGTCGAGCCTGCGATGGGCGGGGCTTTGGGGGAGAGTCCAATCCCACTGTGCGGAGGAGGCAGGGTCGAAGCTATTACTCTCCAATGTCCAACGAGAGGGAAGCAAAGATGATGGGCTGGACTCCAAGCCAATAGTAGAGTAGTACAGACAACCTCCTAGAGGAGCTCGACCAGTGAGTAGGCGAGGAGGGGGCGGGCGCCGGAGTCCCGGCAGCTTCTAGTAGGTTCCAGAAGGCGGCGCGTGCGGTTGCGAACGCCGAGCGGACGGGAACGCGGAGCGGTCGGATTCGATTCAACGGGGTTCCGGGCCAGGCTATGGAGCAGGTGAAGGGGGAGGGGCGGGCTGAGGCCCTGGTGCCTTTCGGGGTCCGACCGAGGCCAAGCCGCGGCGGAGGGGCGGGGTGAGGCGGGCGCCGGGCCCGGGGCGTGCAGCTGCGGCGAGAGGCGAGGGCGTGAGGGCCGTAGTCGCGGCCGCAGGGCGGGAGGGAGTCTGCAGCGCGGCCCGACCAGGGGAGCGACCATCGCCTCCTGGCTCGGCGAGGACGGCCGGAGGAGGCCGGGGTTCGGCGTGAGGCGGGCCCGCGGCCGAGCCCCGGGGGCCTCCAGAGAGATGGCTGCAGGCTAAGCAGGGGGATGGCGCCGGCCTCACTGGAAGGCTGGAGGTCGGCGAGGGGCCTTAGTTGACACCGGGAAGGTCTCGATCTTGGAGGCCAGAGCCTGCCCATGGAGGAGCCACCCAGCAGTTGGCCACGATGAAGTTGGAAAATCCAGGGAGCGGGAACCTCAATACCCTGAGAGTAGCCGGGGCACTCCGGAGCCTGGGACCCAGTTGGGGAAATGCTCCTTTTGTGCATCTTGGAAGGTCAGGGTAGAAAAGTTGAGTAGACTTTGCCTGATGCAGGGGGTGGCGGTGTTGCAAAGTCCTTGGGAGAAATTCTGTCTCTACCTGTGTTTTACATATGTATRCACAGCCCCTCCCCCTCTTTTTGTCTGTGTGACTGTAGGGTGACTGAGGACTGACACCTCTGGAAAGTCGGTTTCTGATTACACAGGAATTAGTAGCTATAGACCTAGTGAGYGAACAGAAGTTAACTTGCTTCTGCGCAGCATTTGGGGGGCTGAGTTGAAGCTGCTGCTCTTGCTTTCTGTAACTTGGTTAAGTCCACCGTGACTTACAGCTGAGAGGTCTGGAGAGGTTTTTTTGCATAGGAAACCGTTTTTGAGCTGTAGTGATTTATCTGGAARAAGTCAAAACAGCTCACTCTTTTTGCAAAAAAGCTACAAAACTGAATCTTTAGCGTGGTATAGCTGCAGCTCCTGTAGTAAAAGCTGGAGCTTCCTTGTTAAATTAATAAGTGGAAATTTAGAGAATAATAAACTTTTTATCCTTTCATAATCAAAAGGGTTTGTGGTGTGTGACAAGAATAAGAAAGGCAGTTTCTTTTAACAAAATATTTTGGTTAGGGGTTCGGTCGATTGAACCCAGGGCCTTGAGCATGCATTGTGTGTGTGCTCTTGTCACTGAGCAGCATCCTAAACCCAAAATAGTTTTCTTAAAAAAAACACCAGCATTGTAGAAGGATACATACGCACAGGTAGGCTGTGACTGACTAAACTCAGAGCTGCAAACTTACATGAGGAATACACAAATGACTCTCCTTCCCCCCCCTCCCTAAATAAGCATCTGCATTTACAGTTTATTAATTTGTTTATTTTTAGGAGATGAGGGTCACACTATGTTGCAAAGCTGGGCCCACATTCGCATGCTCTGGAGAACCTCATGCCTCTCGGCCTCCCCAGTAGCTGGGACCACAGTGCACACTACCACCCAGGCTTGTTTTCATTTTAATCTGTGAGAACCATGTTTCAATTTTGGGAAATATTTAAGATGGACAATTTTTTTTAAGATATTTATTTTTTAGTATAGGTGGACACAGTGTCTTTATTTTACTTTATGTGATGCTGAGGATCAAACCCAGTGCCTCATCCATGTTAAACGAGTGATCTACTTCTGAGCCACAACTCCAGCCCTCAAGAGGGACAAATTTAAGTGATCAAATACTTTTTTTTTTTTTTTTTTTTTTGGTACTCGTGATTGGAATCCATTGGTGCTTTTACCACTGAGCTACATCCTCAGGTCTTTTTATTTTATTTTGAGATAGGGACTTGCTAAGTTTGCTGAAGCTAACCTGGAACTTGTGATCCTCCTGCTTCAGTCTCCTCGCCTGCTGGGATGACAGGTGTGTGCCACCAGGCCACCTCACAGTGATACACTTTTTACATTTGACCCAATACAGATTTGCAACTCTAGATGTGGTTGGTTGGTTTGTTTTTTGGCAGTGCTAGGAATTGAACCCAGGGCCTTCAGCATAGTAGGCAGCAGCTTTTCAAAATTGGTCTCTATAATACAGAAAAGTATTTCTTCTTCTTTTTTTCTTCTTCTTCTTCTTCTTTTTCTTCTTCTTCAATTTTTCATGATTATTTTTGTGGTGTTGGGGATCAAACTCAGGACCATTTTATTTTTTGAGATAGGGTCTCACTTTGATCCTGACTGGCCTTGAATATGGTAAGTCTTCTGCCTCAGCCTCCTGAGTCGCTGGGATTATAGGCGTGCTCCACAATCCCTGGCTCGCTCACTCTTCCTTTTTTTCCTTTTTGTGGTACTGGGGATCTCTTGTCTAACCTCAAACTTGCAATCCTTCTGCCTCTGGTCTCCTGAATAGCCAGGCTTACAGGCATTTGGTACCGCACCCAGCTGAAAAGTATTTTTCATGTCTAGTTCTGACCTGCAGTGGGAAAGGAAATCAGTTTTGTAGGTCACAGCCAGCGTTGTTTTTTTTTTTTTTTTTTTTTTTTTTTTTGGCTCTGAGGTTTGAACCCAGGTCCTTGAGCATGCAAAACACATGTACATTCTACCACTAACCTATCTATACTCTCAGCCCCTGTATAACATGTGTAATAAAACAGTATTATGTACACTGTGCTGGTATTTTCTGTTTTACTTGCTCTTTTAAAATGCCTGGCATGGTGGAGCATACCTGTAATTCCAGCAACTCAGGAAACTAAAGCAGGAGGATGGCAAGTTTGAGGCTAGGTTCACCACTTAGTGAGGCCCTGTTCAAAATAAAAAAGGAGCTAGGAGTGTAGCTTAGTGGAAGAGCACCCCAGCACCAAAAATACAAAATGTTGGTCATGACCTACAAAACTGATTTCCTGTCCCACTGAAGGTCAGTATTGGGTTTGAAAAATGCTCCTCTGRAAGGTAGGCAAGAACTTCACAAAGCTGTTCCTTAGCTGACTCTCTCCATGCCCCAATTTTTTAAATTATAAGGATCTCACTTAAGTTGCTGGGGCTGGCTTTGAACTTGGTATTCTCCTGCTTCAGCCTACCAAGTTGCGATTATAGGCCTGTGACACTATGCCAGTTCTCAGTTGCCTCTTCACACCAGTTGAGTGGAGCTTATGAAGTTTCAGCTTCATACCTCAATCCTGGACTCTGCGACTTTCATCCCTTGTTTGCTAAATTTTGGTAGTTTTCCTCTGCCTTTTTCCTCTTTACCCTTATGTTTTGTATTTTGATTTTTTTTGTTGTTGTTTTGTTTTGCTTTTGCAATGTTGGTAATCACACTCATGGACCCATGCTAGCCAAGCAAGAACTGTACCACTAAACCACATCCCTAGCACTTTGCCCTTGCTCCTTTAAGATCTCTTGGGACGGGGCCAGGCATGGTAGCATGGGCACMCACCTGTAATCCTGGCCACTTGGCAAGATGAGGCAGGACTGCAAGTTCAGGGCCAGCCTGGGACACTTAGTGGACATCTTGTCTCAAAAGTGCTGGGGATRTAGCTCAGTGGTGGAATACCCTGGATTCCTAGTTTGAATCCCCACTACTGGGGCTGGGGAGAGGTTCCCATGGATGAAAGTTCCTGATTGATGTGCATCAAGATTTCAAAGTCATTTAACAGAATWCTTTAGGGGATGGATGGGTTACTGAGGCCACTTTACCACTGAGCCACATCCCCCAGCCCTTTTTATTTTTTTGAGATAGGGTTTTGCTAAGTTGCTATGGCTGGCGGGTACTTGAAATCTTCCTGCCTCAATATCCCGAGCTGCTGGGATTACAGATGTATACCACCATGACTGGCCAGAATTCATTTATTCTTAATATTAATACACTGGGTCCTGGGTGTATAAAGACTGCCTTAATAGCTCAAATGATCTGGAATCCCACGGATTATGTTTGTACTTTGAAGGGTGCTATGGAWATATGGTGGGTCATCTGACCTTTTATAGGATAATTCTCCTCTTAAAAACCCTTTCATTAAGACCCTGTTAGGCCAGGGCCTCGTTCCTTCACTTTTTAATCAYCTTGGTGTGTTCTATCTTGCATTCTGATTCTGAATATTTGGGAGGATAGGGAATTTACTTTCTCTAGCCTCTTTGTGTTATAGTAATATTCAAGCCTTTGGAGGACCAGCTTACTCATTTAGGATCAGAATTARTCTACCATGTGGTGACATTTTACCACGTGGATAAATGGAGATGGTAGCTGAGCCATGAGAATTTGTACACACACACAGAGATTGAACCCAGAGGGACTTAACCACTGACCCACATCACTAGCACTTTTTTCTTTTTGATTTTTTAATTTTGAGACAGGGTCTCACTAAGTTGCTTAGGGCCTCAGCCTCCCAAGTCCCTGGGATTATAGATTTGCACCACTGCACTAGCTCATGAGGAGCATCTTGGGGGAGGGGGCAGGTACTGGGGATTAAACTCAGGGCCACTCAACCACTGAGCCACTTCCCCAGCCCTGTTTTGTATTTTATTTAGAGACAGGGTCTCACTGAGTTGCTTAGCACCTCACTTTTGCTGAGGCTGGCTTTGAGCTTTTGATCCTCCTGCCTCAGCCTCCAAGCTGCTGAGATTACAGGCACCTGGCTCTGAGGAGCATCTTGATGCTCTAGAGGAAAGGAAACCTTGCCATCCTAAAGCCTGTGGTGTGCATGAATCTACATTCCTTCCTGATCATCTCTCCCTGTGGGGAGTGCCTCTGCCTATGCTCAGTTTATCCTTTGGATTCTTTGGGAATCTGTGACAAATGAATTGGCATGTGTTGGTTGGTTGGTTTTTGGTGATGCTGGGGATTAAACCCAATCCCTTGGGCAAGTGCTCTGCCACTGAGCCACATCCCTAGCCTTCAGGTTTACTTTTCCAGTGTAGGAACGTGTGGGTGAGATCTGGAGGGTTCTGACAGCTCTGAGTGAAAGGGGGACTAGGGTTCTTACCAGTCTRCACAAGAGCCACTGGAGAGCAGAGATGGGTTTCTTGTGCCTTGCTGCTCCCACCCACCCACTGCTGGCTCCCAAAGGTGTGGAAAATGAGTGATCACATCTAATCTATAAAGTAATCTGTGTACTGGTAACTGGGGGAAAATGTCATCTAAAAACTTGGAGACAGATTAAGCGTACTGTGGAGAAAAACTATAGGCTTCCTTTCTCCTCAGGTGAATGAGCTAAAGGAGAAGGGCAACAAGGCCCTGAGTGCTGGAAACATTGAYGACGCGCTCCAGTGCTACTCTGAAGCAATTAAGTTAGATCCCCAGAACCATGTGCTCTACAGCAATCGATCTGCAGCCTATGCCAAGAAAGGGGACTACCAGAGGGCCTATGAGGATGGCTGCAAAACCGTTGACCTGAAGCCTGACT